ATTGTAATCCGGCCCTTTGTAGTCGTTCCAATACCTTGTTAACATGGCTTCGGTGCTCAGCAAGTGACCCTGATGAGAAAATTAATATATCGTCTAAGTATGCCGAAGCGAACTCGTCTAGAAAGTCACGCAGGATCCAATTAATATACCGCTGAAATGTGCTTGGAGCGTTCGCCAAGCCGAAAGGTGTTACTAGCCATTCGTAAAGGCCAAATCTAGTCCGGAAGGCTGTCATCCATTCGTCTCCTGGCGAGATCCGGATTTTATGAAATGCAGCAATAACATCAAGCTTGGTAAACCAGCATGCCTTCCCAATCCTTTCCAGTGTCTCATTAATTAAAGGAAGTGGATATCGGTCCTTTTTGTGATTGCATTTAAGCCTCGATAATCACAACAAAAACGTAGTCCTCCTCCTGGTTTCTTTACTAAGAGAACCGGGGCTGCAGCGGGCGAATTGCTGACTCGTATAAACTGTTTGTCCAATAATTCTAAAAGGGTCTTCCTGAGGACTAGTAATTCATCGCGAGACATGTTGTACAGCGGTCCATGTGGGGGTTCACGAGTATTTCCGTTTTCGTCTTTTTCCAGCTCAATTTTATGGTCGACTCCAGCTCCACGGAGCGGTGGGAGTTTGTCGGCTTCTTCGCGGCTGAATACCGGGAGAAATTGGTGGTAATGAGCTGGTAGTTTGTCTTTAGGGTCCGTGTATTTCTTTACTGTAAGTGCTTTCTCAATATCTTTTAGGCTTGCGGCAAAACTCGTATCTCCTTGTTCTTTCTTCTTTTCCTAGCCCACATATTAAAGGAGTTGGCGTTAATGGGAGCAATTTTAGGGATTCCGGTCTGGTGGTATTCGCTGCTGACTTCAGTTCCAGTGTCTTGGAAGATTAACTTTAATCTATCAGTGGATATATTGGCTCTTTGAGAGATTAGCCATGGGAGTCCTAGTATAATATCGTGGCCTATATCAGTCGGGGCCACGTAGAGGAATATCCTTCGTTGGTAGTGACCTCCAATATCTAATGACATGTAGGCTACCTCGGTGACATACTCTCTAGCACCCCCAATTCCTTTAATAAACCGTGGCGGGATGGTAATGCGCTGGAGACAGCTTTTTGGGCAAACTTGGAAGAGATCATCCCATAAGGGTCACAGCCTGTATCAACTAAAGCATTTGCATTGTATTCCTTGTTAACCAGGGCTGTAATTATAAAGGGTGGACCTTCCATATTTTCCTTAAAGTTTTCCCATTCTTCTTTCGCCTCTATCCGCTCCTGTTCGCGACTTAAAACAGGAGCTACACTTTTCCCCGCTTTGTCTTTGTCTTCCAGGTTGTCCTCGTCCTCCAGCACCGCACCGGTGATATTAGCGACTATGGGGATCCTAGGCGGAGGTGGTTGGGGCCTCCTGGGAGGTTGGAAGGGACAGTCTTTAACTATATGGCCTGGGGCTCCGCAACGTACGCACAGCCTTTCACTCCATCGTCGGTTAATCTCCTCCTGAGTTACCCATTTGGCACGTCGGGAGCTGGCAGTTTTCACTGCTGGTTCCCAGTCCATAGTATCACTAGAAGGGATAACAGCTTCACCGGAGTTTTTGTAATATGGTGGTGCCCATGGTCCCTTCTCTTTCCGCTTAAAATTCTCAAGGCGATGAGAGATCTCCTGCACTTGTTGGCAAAATCCATCATAAGTCTCTTTTTCCTCGATATTTATTAATCGGTTCTCAATCGTTCGGTTTAACGCGCTCTTCAAATACCCTTTTTAACTCTATCTTCCCAACCGCTGCCACCCGCTTCGAGGAGTAACCCATTGAGTTCTGCGACCAACTCTAGTACAGAGCGGTTTCCTTGGCGTAGAGTATTTAGGCGTACTAGGGCCTTCTCTTGACGGGTTGGGTCACTAAAGGCGCTTTCCAGCTGGCTGTAAAATCCTTGGAGCGTGAAGCTTGGAGGGACTCATTGGCTGCGATCCATGCATGGATCCTTGCTGCTGCCTTGCCTCCCAGGCGGCTATAGCCGTACCATATTTGTTCCAACTCTCCTCCAAGAGAGGCCTCGTCTATCAGTAACTTCGCTTTCAGTTGGCTTAAAACTGTGGGAAAAGCGTAAGGTCTGTCCCGTCGAACCGTTCGGGGTCGGCTAGCTTCGTGGCGAGGGCGCTGTTGTATAGGAGGTAGGGGGTAGGTACGGGTGCTGCGCTCGGTGTGGTGTTCGAAGTTGCCGGGGTTGGAGTCATTTGGAGTGCTGCTTGGAGCTCCGCGCGTAATGTCTGGATTTGCCCCTGGAAGTGATCCCGTTGCAGACCAAGAGCTATCTGCTGTTGTTCTATCATTTGACGAAATAGGGGTTCGGCCCATGTTGGTAGTTCTGTACTCCCACTTGGTGGGTTATATTCTCCTTCCATTCTGTTCGGTATTAGTTGTTTTCCGTTCTGTTCTATTCCATTCCGTTTCAGTATAAGATAAGTGACGAACGATTCCTAATGTCAAGGGCTGAACCCATTGAACCTACAAGATAGGTTATGTACAAGAAGGAATCGTTGAAGAAGGGAAGAAAGGAAGAAAGGAAGAAAGGAAGAGGAAACAAGCGGTAAACAAACAAGACGAGTAGTGACGTGACATCGATCGAGGGCCAATGGGCCAAAAGGGTCAGTAGGGACAGTAGGGACAGTAGGGACAGTAGGGACAGTAGGGACAGTAGGGACAGTAGGGACAGTAGGGACAATAGGGACAATAGGGACAATAGGGACAACGGGGACAATAGGGACAATAGGGACAACGGGGACAGTAGGGACAATAGGGACAAACGAGTAGTGTAGGGACATTGGCCCGAGAGGTCAAACGGGCTCTAGCCCTTTACAGTAAATACCACAAGTGCCCCATCTTAGTTAGCTATCTTAAACGAGAGCTCAAAGCGAAATGCCTTGAGGATTGGGATAAAGCATGGGAAAATACTAAGAAAAGTGATTAATACAGGGGCTTTAATTCCATAGCTTCATGGAAGCCAAGCCCCCTAAGGCTTCCCAAGCAGACCTGGTCAACCATCATCCAATTAAAGCTAGGGCACGGCTACTTCAGATCATATTTAGTTAGAACACCTAACTACGAGTAGTGATATATGCACGTCATGCCACAGCAATAAACCTTAAACTCCATACCACCTACTCCTCCAATGCCCGGCAACCAGGGACATCAGAAAAGGGTCTATAGAGACCCTAGACAAAAAAGACCGAAATTTGCCTTATCTTTTCACGAAGAAAGCAGGGCAAGAACAACTAATCAAATTCCTAAAGGAAACCGGGATCGCCACTAGAAAGTGGCTCTTGGATCCCTAGGGAAAACAAAAAGAAAAAGTAAAAATAAAAATAAAAACAGTGGAAATTAGCATGTTTCAACTCCTTCTTTAAGGTCCCCCCCACCCCTAGAATATCATATTGCTTAGTTATGTTTGATTTTACCCACTATGTACGTATCTGTTTGTTAGTTTAAATCCTACCACCCAGGGGTGGTAGGTAGAGCATGCATAGTCTCTGACTGAAAAATGCTCTATAATATGGAAGAATAATAATAAAAAAAAGAACCGCACTAATGCATTGTGACTAGCGAGGTTCCAACGGGGTCAGCACTAGCTGGTGGCCTTATAAATGTAAAGCTCAAGATTTGTGCACAGATTTGATCCGTTCATAGCTCCATAGTTCCTGGTACTTTTGTACTGTGCACCCTGTCTAGGAAATTCAATGATCCTACAATGGAAGCGGGTATTTCCGCAGACTTCGCAACTATCCGCAGACTAGTATCTAGTAAGAATCCATCGACGAGTATGTTCTAACGTCGATCCTTTGCCTGACTGGGCCCATGTTATACCCTGTTATGTTGGTTTGGAAGAATACCCTGTTTTTGTGCCATCGTGTGTGGACTAAATACCGGCCTCATGTATCACCTCATCCATCATATTGGCAAGCCCCCTGTTAACTATATTGCAATTTACCGGATCAACAGTCGCCGTTGACGAAGCCGGATAGGCTAGAGATTAAAGGGGAAACTGCGCTTGGTCCAACTGGGCAAGAGATTAGCCACCAAAATCCGACAGACCCCTATTATCATCCCAGACATATTGTCGTCTACTTACAATTCGTGGGTGAGTCGCCATACAATAATCTTCTGATTCGGAGGCTCCATGACAAGTGCTTATGCTATACCTGAATCCAGGAGGCCGAGATTGCGATGAGGACTAACGCCAAGGGCTCGCTAACAGTACTTGTCACAACGTTGCACTGCCAGTAACTCCTTACCTGTAGCTAAAGCCAATTAAGACTCTCCTGGGCGCTGTGGCGGTGGATCTTCTGCATACGCCTCGGCCCTAGGCGTCCCCAACATGTCAGACTCCATCTGATTGGAGACATGCACAGGCGAAGCGATGGTACCCTTTTACTATTGGTCCTGTCTGTGCTTTCAAGCTAACCAGGTTGCAGAAGTGCACGGAATGCTCACCTTTCTTACGTAGGATGTGTTTATAAGATTGATATGACACGGCTCTAGGCCAGCAACAGCTACTAGCGCTCATGTACGGACGACCAATCCGGTTGCTATTTGTTCGTCCATGCATGCAAATGAAGGGCACCTCTGTATTACCATTGGAATGGAGGGAGATACTAATCGAAGAATGCTGCAGTCATCATCCTTCAGTGAGCTCGCTAGAGGCTGAATCCTTTCATGTCACTATGCCTTTTTAGTTATGCCTTTCTTTTCTAATTTAAATTGGCCTGTGCCCTGAACCGGGATGTAGGAAGTTTCGCATGGACAGTAAGCCACCACATTGCATTGTACTTCATGGAGCCCGACACAACGAGGCGAAGCGGCTGTGATCGATGCAGAGGTCAGAAGCTGCGATGTGTACGACTGCCAGGACCAGCCAGGGAGGATTCACCACGGTCGGCCAGGCCCGTTAGTCAACCATGTGAACGCTGCAAACGGGCAGTGGTATGCTATACAACAAAGCCTATGTCTCGGCGGGTACCTCAGAGTTACCCTCGGAGGAGAAGCACGGCATACGAGGACGACGTTATAGAAAGCGAAGTAGATTTAGATGAGGCTATGATTAGGGCTAACGGGCCACGAGACGAACCCCCTGTCAGAAGATCGCCGCCGACAATTACCGACAGATTAACCCATGACCCGTTCCCTGCTGAATTGTGGTCAGGGTTTGGTATACCGCCTGCATCATTGGTCTCAGCGGCAGTCCTTTCCCATGTCCCGGGTCCTGGTACTATTGTGGAGGGTGCCGTTGCGCAAAGGGCGAATAGTAGTACCGCATTGCCACCGTCATCACACCAGCACGGATGGCCAAATGATCCCCAGGACGCCTTGAGCTATTTTGGAGACAGAGTCCATGATATTCCTGATCTGATGAGCGTACCTAGTCCGAACGATGTTGGCTTGGGTTTAGACACAGTAAATCGCAGGCCAGCAGCGGCTACTTCGCGGACAACCCAGACCTTCCCTCCTGATACTTCGAGACACGGAATCGACTCATCTTTAGGGACGTTTCACCAATCCGTGGAGAATGTGCATCCCCGGGCCCAGAGACCGCGTGAATCAAGCGGCCGTGGTTTATATTCGACTGCCGGCAACCCAATAATGGATGCCGCACAACTTAGCACTACACAGCTTTCAGAGCTCAACATGCGATTGATGAAAGACATAGGAAGTACCACATCATTTCGACAAAATGTGAGCGCAGCTTCTAACTCAAACTATCCTGCTTCCGGGTTAGGAGAAACAACGCCGTCTTCGTCCTCCATCATGTCAAAATTCACGAATACTATGTTGGGCAACTGCCAGAATTTCCTCGACATACTACAGCGTCTGAGATCCTCAACCATGGAATTACGTGAACGCGCAAACTCTGAATGTTCCTACGGTGACCTCGAGTATAGCTCAAATGAATACTCCTCTTCCCGATCGCAATCCCGAAACCACAGCACGTCAGCATCAAGCCGAAGCAGGGATGGCCGTATATCTGCGGGTGGAGGAGGCCCACCGAATATCCTGAACGGCGATACTATAGGGCTTTCACCATCACTAGATCCCGTAAAGGCCGATTCCAGTGTTCTGGGCTTTTGTCTAATTATATGGGGGGTCTGAAAAATGGTTCTATTCAGAAGGATTATCTGCCCAACCCCTCTATGAGAGATATTGGGTATATATTTCACATGATGTCCCAATCTGGACAAGTTTATTCTGACAACTTTCCAGCCTTCCTGTCAATTCTTTCCTGCTACACACACATCCTTCGAGCCTACGATGCCCTGTTCACTGAGATTCTTGAGATACTTACGGAAAGTCCTTGCATCCAGCTTGACTTAAAAATTCCCAACCTAATCCCCGAGGTTTCCCTAGGGGGTTTCCGTATCAATGGCTATGGCGACTTACAGATCAAATGCCTTCTCCACATGAGCTTTATCATACTAGAGAAGATCGAGAGCATGCTGGGTATCAATGCTCCCGCAAAGAATGATTATGGATCGGATGGTGGCCTGTTGAACAACAGTCAGCTGAGAGTGCTTCTGGAGGCTTTGTACCATCAGAAGGAGTTTGATTATATCAAGGCCGACGGGACACGAGCGGCTCGTGCAAAGAAAACCATGTGTGACGGCAGGCAAATCAGATAGATAAAATCATATTGAGTCCTATATCAAGAATACTAAAGATGGGGAGGAAAGGAAGAAGGTAGAAGGGCGTTGTCATGGCGAGCGAGGATCTGGTGGGAAGCTTCCCAGCCCTAGCCCTGTGCCCTCAGCCCTTCCTTATCCCAATACGGCCTACGTGCAAACCATATAAACATCACGTCACCGCGTTAACCTGAGTGCGGTGTCCAAGGCCAGGTAGTCACACCATGAAAAGTATCCAGCGTATTTTGGACTCCATCTAGGTGTGTAAAAGTCTAGAGATTCTGATGTCCCTCGCGGGATCTGCGTGTTGATATAGTGTCTACCAATTATATAAGACATTTCTGGATTTTCATGCGATCGGTCAACTAGCACCTAGTAATTTCTGACTAGTCTTTAGAATAGAAACACCGTAGATGCCGAGTAGTACCTAAATAGCAATTAGTATCACGACTTCTTGGTGCCTTTAACTAGTAGCATCAGCCCCACCGATCTCATCAGACATACAGAACTCGTGGCCTCATGTTAGGAGCGCTCGGAAGCGCGATAGCTAGATCCTTAGCTAAGATGCTTAGTCAGGTGCGAAGTGTTTATATTCGCACCTGCGGGCCTGAACTCCTGAAGGGCAGCGATTAGTTCTGCAATATACGTGGTCCTACCTTCTCTCCCATATAGACACTCCCTTTCGCACCGTAGCGCCCCATTCAGCTCGTTACCGACCCCCACGCATAACACCTCAAGTGCCAGGCACATGGTTGCCTCTTTAGTCTTACTTTCTTTTCCAACATTATTCCATTTCGATATAATTGAACATACAGATATGGATCAGTTCGTAAGAGTGAGCCATACATAGTTTTCGTAATATCAGCGCGACGCATACCGCAGAGCAAGGCTCGCCAAGCAACCCGTGGCACATAACAACTGATCACCCTTCCACACCATGCAAAATACGAGTTTTCAGCTGCTGATACTGAAGTGCCGTAATATCATCATACGCCGCAGGCCGGTCCTCACTAACAAACTCAGCAAGCGGTCCAACAGACGTATCACGCCCAGCCTTGAAGAAAAAAACACTGGAACAGCGAGCAGGAAGCACATCAAGCCCATTCGACACCTTCGCAGCATCTGGCGCAGTGACCTGGTGTAAACCGGCCCTTATAACATCGTTTGTCCACCGTTGGAGCGAATCCGACGTATTAACAATCATCTCATTCAGCGATTCTCGCGTGACAGGAATGAACGATCTTGGTTTGCCTGCGCTCCGGTCTTCAACTTCCAGCCCGCCCACCAGATCCTGGAACAGGAGCGTTATGATACCCAAATCGGTGTGTGGCCAGGCACGCTTCTTGAGCCCTTCGTCGAACATATTTCTCGCAGTGGGTGGATAATACAGTAGGCGGATTTCGCTGGCAGCAGGCTGGCAACATTGCGTCAAGCGCCCTGCCTCGAGACCAAGGCCGAGTTCGATAGCGGATATGATCTGGAAGCAGGTGCGTTGGCAGACTTCGTAGCTTTCTTCTACGAACGGTTGGAAGTCTGGTATGCTTTCTGGCCATTTGTTTGGGTATTGCTCATCTCCGAGGGGGCCTGCGTCGAAATGCTCCTGTGTTTCACATCAGACTCCCACTCGGTAAAGGTGCCAGCGAAGGCTCATTTTCTGGCTATGGATGTGTGTGATACTCACCTTTTTATCACTCACTTCGCGGCCAGCCGCTGCGGCAAGATTCTCTTCGCGAAGCTTGGCTGTCTGCTCCATTCCTATGCGACTCCAGCCTCTTTGAGGATGCGGTCCCGGATCGTTTGCGATCTTGGCTTTCTCGTGCGTAGGTAGCGTGAAGAAACGCTTTGACTGCATATCAGTGGGAAATAATCGGTTAGTGGTTTAGACTCTTTGAACATCGCATGGAGGCCTGGTCGTACCCGCTCGTGGAGGCCTGGTCGTACCCGCTCGAGGAGACCCTGTATAGTTTTCCCCGGCACCTCATGGTTTATCAACCGTACGAAACCCAATGATTTGAGACTGCCCACAAGCTCAATGGCGACCTGCTGCCGCTGCTCTTCTGTGCCATGTAGGAAGCCTGAGAAGTCAACTGTGCGGAGGGTCATCGTATACAGTGGCCTTCTGGACACAGTTTTGGATATGCCTGTATTCGACTGCTTTGCAGCTTTGCTATTGTGCAGTCGACATGCGGAGGCTCAAGACGATGATACTTAATGGTATGGCGACGAAGATTATTCATCTTGCATGCTCCGACGGAAGCCGACTTCCTCTATCCGTGCTTGTGGGATATCGTAAGATGTCTCTTTTTCGGCAGCCGTTTCGTCCATCGGTGTCGGTAAACTGGATTTGTCGATATCGGATCCGTAAGGGTGGTTGCCGACTCCGAGACCGAATATGCTGATTATTATGTTAGCGTACATCTTATTTTTGCAGAGGTATTTTCCCTGATACTTGGTTTCAGAATTCAATTTTTCCTTCTTCTAGTCCTTTCTATCGCTGGAAGGAACATGGGAGACACAACTGGGAAATATGAGGGAATGGTCTATTGTGGCTTAAGGTGTGATGATGGCTGGCTGGGTCTAACGTCAACACGGCACTTCATATAAACAAGTCGAAGCATTTAATTTTCTGTCTTGAGGAGGGCCGCGAGAAAGCTGCTACTTTCTTGAACAAACCCAATGAAACGAAACGCTCGAATATAAGGTCTTGCGTAGTCACACAAATGACATCTCGTAGAGGATAAACAACCCGCCCCACCCCTCCTCTTCCCCCTCCCACTCACACAGAAAGCAGCAGCCTTGAGTCTTGAATCATGCCAGTCGTAAATATATTACCATCAAGCCGGGACAATCCAAAGAAAAGCTCCAGCTAGAATGTTCTCCACCCCGAGAGTGAAATACATCCATGGCAACTTCGGATCGACTGTTAGCGGCGAAACAGTCATAGCTATCAACGCCCCGGCCGATACAGCAGACAGGTATACGGCCATAATCAGCGATTTCATTGACTTGGGAGCTTGCGTATAGGCATATTCAACACCTGCCACGGAGGCAAGTATCTCTGAGATAGCGACCAAGACGTACGCAGGAGACTGGAGGAACACAGAAACCCGATTCGGGACCTCCCCGCCCATGCAGTCCGGTGCTCTCGGGTGGTCGTAGCAAGGCGGGGCAGCGTAAATAGTTCGCTGAACAAAGGCCGCATAGAGCATTGAAAGGCCGCATATCAGGAACCCCATTTTAATTCTATCCACATGACGAATAGATACACCCAGCCTTCGCAGGAAAGGAAATACAACGCGGTCTAGGATAGGGAGAAGAATCAAGACCGTTATAGGGTCTATGTTCGGCATAATATCATTAGGAACTCCGTGCGTCTCCATGGTTGCGGCCTGGGAGATGAAATTTGTTAGAAACTGTAGATAGGCTGCCCAGTAGATCGGATATAGGATAAAGATTTTGCATGAATCGAGAGCCCTTCGCAAGTCGTCAATGAATGAATCATCCCAGGGGAGCCTTCTCGTTGATGCTTGTTCTGTTTGGTAGCTTGGTCTTGCATAGTCCAGATTGCCCTTGTAGTTGATACCAATCCACAATGCCTTGCAGGCGTTGAAGATTATAGAGCTATCAGGGTCCCGGCTTATACATAGATGTTTGCTGGCGAGGACTATTATAAATCCAATAAAAAAGACTATCGCTGACAAAGAAAAAGCGGCTGAAAAGCCATACTCTTTCTCGATTATTGTTATGAGTAGAGGTGAAAAAGAGCCTATATTAATATACAAGAAAAACGTTGTGAATATACTTATGACTATATTAGTATTCACGGCAGACTAGGTAATTGAGGCTAGGATAGATACCTCTGAATTGTCAGATCTCTATCGATGATAACTTCCTCCCCTGATTTCAAAACGCGTCTGGATTCCCTGGGACCATTGTATTGCTCTGCGATTAGTGAACTGACGTTAGTTTTAATACCACCGGTGCCAATACCAATTAAGAATAACGACACTAGCAATCCGGGTAGTGATATTCCTATCTCCTGGGCAATTGGCAATGAAGATAGAAACAAAGTGGTCAATCCACAGAGGTACACCGACGAGGAATAAATAATAGTTTTCACCCTTCCGATATACTGTTCTGCAACGACGGCGCCGACTACTGGAGTGATATAGCACCACAGCATAAACGCCTGATTTACCATGGTCGCAGATGCCTGTCCAAGTCCTACTCATGTTAGACTGCGGCATAAATCATATGTAGGTATCGTCCTACCGATTACGCCCGGTCGTAATGGATCATTCCTGGGATTTTGGATGTAGTTCTGCATTGGTGCAACGGTGCCAAAATAAGCAAATCTTTCGCACAGCTCGATTGTGGCAATGAGCCAGACTGAAAGAGGAAGTGAATCCGCGATTCTCCTCAACCCGTTATTAGGCTTCGTGATCGACAAAGTGGTCCCTTCATCATCCGCTGCCCCATCGAACCTAGCGGAGAGAAGTGGGGTGCGTTCGCCTTCAACGGATGTCGTCGTTGTGGGCTCGCCAGTCAACATGATGAATCTTCAAGTTAAAGTGACTGGGGGGAGTACAAGTGAGCGAGTATTTTAAAAGACACGCGAAAGACGGTCAAGGTGATTCGAGTCAGGGGGTTAATTGCTTACCTAACCTGAGGCATCATTCCTCGAAAAATACCGCTAGGGCAGCAAAACAATTCCGTTACCCTTCTAACCCTAACTGGTAAGTTTATTCCTTTAGGAGACGTAAAGAGACTACCGACTAGGATAAACCCACCTACGGAGCGCTCCATGGTTTATCTTTCGAGAGGTGATTACTAATGTGTGCGAAGCCGCCGAACAAAGACGCCGGGCTTGTATCATGAGGTTTTCTTAGCGTGGACCAAAAGGATGCAGCAGTCAAGTCAAGGGATCATCAACATCCGAATCAGTAAGGAAGGCTCCAACGAAGAAGCAATATAAGGAGACAAATGTCTCCTCCACTCTATTCCAAACTAGTCTTTTACGTAGGAAGCTTGAAATTCCAATTTGAAGTAGCAATATGCCCGTACCAAAGTCGATCATTATCGTTGGATCCGGGGTCTTTGGGTGTACGTACGGAGTATTCCTACGAAAGCGATCGCTAGCTACTGGCGAAGGATACTGACTAATTCTTTACATTCTGAAAGTATCCATTGCCCACGCGATGTCCCAGAATGCCGAGTTCGCGAATACCAAGATCACCCTGATCGACAGTTGGAATTTCGAGCCGCACGGGCTCTCATCCTCAATCCCTAATCCCAGCGCGGCGAATTCCGACACTTCTCGCATTATTCGCAGTGACTACTCACACAAGATCTACGCCACGCTCGCCCGCGAGGCACAGCAGAGATGGAAGGCAGAATGGGGCGCAGATGGACGCTACCGCAACCAGAGCATCGTGATGATTGGGGAGGGTCACTCCATGAAGCAGCCGATGAAAGCGTGCGAGAGTCTCAACTATGTCAAGCACGCCTATGCCCAAAGTTATGAGCGAGCGGGGCATAACAGCAACATTGTCCACACCCTTGATTCGGAGTCAGCCGTGTGGAAGGCACTCGGACTCAGTACTCCGGATGAGGCTAGTCAAATTGAGGACGGTTCGGAGTTGAGGGGATACCGAAACCACGATTGCGGATGGGCGGAAAGCGGGGCCACGATGGCTTGGCTGCGTCAGAAAACCATTCATTCGGATCGCATCGAAATCCATATTGGTCAAGTCGTCGGCTTGCGGTTCTGTTCGGATTCGGAGTCCGACTCTCACGTCAACTCCGAATTCCGAGTCTGCGGTGTCACCCTCGACGATGGAAGCCAATTGACCGCCGACTTGACAATTTTGGCTGCGGGCGCTCTGACACCCCGGCTGCTGGGATTCCCCACCTTGTGTGATGTCTACAGTGAGGTCGTGGCGTATGTCCAGCTATCGGAGACGGAACAGCGAGAGCTCGTTCGGAGACGGTTGCCTCTAATCGTTAATGTAGAAAGAAAGATTTTTGCTATTGGACCGGATAATCAGGGATTCTTGAAGTTGGCACGCTTCTCATGGAGCGGCTATCGGGATGTTCAAAAATTCGCAGGAGTGGATGTTGGTCCCCGAATTCAAACCGCACCTGAGGTGGAGGACGGTTACGGGACTTGTGCTGATATCGATCTGACAAAATCTAACCGGGAAGTGGAATCGACATTGCAGGACTACCGGAACTTTCTGACGGAACTCTTTCAGCCAAGGGATGGCGGAGACTTGGGGGTGTTGCATGGTATTACAGCTAGACCCTTTGCCCAGGTTCGCAGATGTTGGTATGCGGACACCGTTTCTACCGACTTCATCGTCGACTATCATCCAGCCTATGGGAAGAGCCTCTTCCTTGCCACTGGGGGCTCGGACCATGCTTTTAAGTTTCTCCCAGTATTGGGGGAGAGAATCTGCGAGCTGATCTTGCAGAGTTATGGCGGTAAAGCGGGACCAAATGAGTACATTGAGGACTTGCAACGCCTGTGGAAGTTTCCAGGAGTAGATAGCCACGCAAAACTGTAGATATGTCAAATGAAAGCAAAGTTGAGGCCATGATAATGACGGATCCAGTAAACGATAGAATCCGTAACCACATGCCGAATGAATGGAGCACTTTGCGTCCGAATTGCGGGCCGAGCAAGGCACCAATTTGGCGATCTGTAGTCTACAAGGATATTCCATAAATGTCGACTCCTCGAACGCATTAAATGGTATTATTACACCCACCAACAACCTTTAGAATCAGTGTCAACAGTTTTCCAATTTTCTAGCTGTTCGAGCTTTAGAAGTAAACATGGCCACCACCACCACCAGCCAAATATTCGTGAGCGAAGACTATAACCAAGACCCAAAGTGGTACGCGGTGGACAACTACACCCTATCGCATCTACAACCTCCATCTCGCCCAAACCATGCCTCCTTACAGCAGACGCTCGCGAACTCCGCAAAGCGCGGACTAGGGGACATCTCCGCCTTTCCCACGCAAGCAAAGTTCATGGCCCTCCAGTGTCAGCTTGGTGGTGTCAAGCACGCCTTAGAAGTGGGTACATTGGGGGGCTACACGGCAATTTACATCGCTAGCCTCAACCCGGACATTCGGATTGTCAGCATTGAAATAGACCCGAAAAGCGCAGAAATTGCGAGAGAAAATATTGCAGCAGCAGGTTATCAGGATCGGATTGAAGTTCTCGTCGGCGCAGCCATTGACCTGCTACCAATCCTTCAAGCAAAGGTGGATAGGGGAGAGCAGGAACGCTTTGGCTTCACCTTTATCGATGCCAATAAAGATGGCGGGTGGGATTACTTTGATTTTGCTGTGAAGATGAGTCGCCCGAAGGCCAGTATTATCGTGGATAACGTGGTGCGAGCTGGGGCTCTCGTGCAGGGAGACGCCATCAAGAATGATATTAATGTGCAGGCATCTCGTAGGACGGTCGAGAATGTAGGCAAGGATGACCGGGTTGACGCTGTGGTTTTGCAGACTTTGAGCGAGAAGAGCTATGACGGGTTTTTGATGGCGGTGGTGAAATGATGTATTTAACCGAGTCAAGTCCATGGTAGTTTAGAGATTTGCCCGAAATATTATCACAGTGGAAGAATGCCTCGCAGAACTTTCATAAATACTTCCATGATTCCATATTTTCATAATTTAAATATGGATCCCTATAGATGCGTGGTCAATTACAATATCGCGTTAGATTGGAATTACTAGTATACACCACAATGAAGAGAGTAAAGTCATGGTTGCTCTATCAAAGCGTCCTGAAGGCATCGTCATGTAGGCCCGCTAAGATTGTAAACTTGCAAAAGAGGCCACGGAATTCAATGGGTACATAGACCAGTATACATACTAGAAAAGGAATTTGGATTGAATTGTTGGTCATCAAGTTGGATTAAAAGATCTAGGGTAAAAATCAATGCAGCGGATATGCACATAATAAAACCTCCCAGCCCGCTCCCTTCATAACTGTACTTCAAATTGATCTTGGCAAAGCAAATAGAGTCCTGCCTCCAGAATTAGCAACAAAATTCTCTCAAGTAATAGACTTATGTGATATTCTTACCATAGGTACCTTCCCCATCCGTCCATCCTTTCACAACGTTTATGCCTGCCGCATGGCAAATGCTAGTAACTTTATCCTTGGGCCATTTCCCACTGGTAATGGCCCGGACTTTTTCTCCAGCGTGAACGTGGAACCTCTCATCGCCAATATCTAAGCTCATAGCCATTTTTGCAACGTAAAAGCTTTCATGCATGGATTTGACAGGATTCCACTTCCCGACAAATGTCCAATGCTGGGGCTTGAACACCTCAGAGCCAAGAATTTGGTTTGCATGCGATAGTCCGTTAAAAACGAACTTCCGGGATAGTTTGTTCGGCATGTCATACGCTTCGAGAATCTGCTCAACATCCTGACAACCATCCACTGCAATGATCATTTGTGGAGAGTGAGACGGAGATTCATTGGTCTGGAGGAAGTCTGCCAGGATGCTCGTTGCATCTTCTGGCTCGAAATTGGCGATGCTATTTCCTAGCCAGAGAAAGGTCGTTCGCACGGTAGCTCCGCTCTGCTTCAGCCATGACGCGCAGTCGTCATATGTACCCAGGAGCCCACGAATGGTGACATATGAAGCAAATGGAAGTTGTGTTTTGAGTTCGGTGATGCTACTTTGCAGGGCAGCGTGACTGACATCTAGTGCACAGTATTCCACGTGCTTTCTATTCTGCTCCAGGCAGCGCAGTACTGACACGGTCTTTTGAAGGTTGCTATATCTTGTCAGTCCGTGTTCATATTCGAGCTTCGTAGATCTTCTTGAATGACACTCACCCCGCACCAAGTTCTATCAATCTTTCGCCAGATGAGATCGAGCGTGTAAATTCATTTACATGCGTCTGGAGCAATTGTGTTTCCCGACGACGTGGATAGTACTCATCACTATTTAGTATCTCACTAAAAAGGTCCAGACCACAGTCGTTCCAGAGGAGAAGAGAAGGCAATTCTTTATCTTTAGCCCAAAGCCCAGCCAAGATTTGATGGTACAGGTCTGTACGAGAAGTCCGCTTGCGAATATCGAGGATTTGAGCGGGCCGTGTCTTGGGATAGGATACAGGAGAAGCGATCGGCGGATGGTCATATATGACAGGAGCGCTGCCGATGCTCATGACAGGTCCTTGTGCCTCACTCATTATGTTAATATGAGCATACAAGATGCTTGATTGAACGATTCAAGGGTCAAGCCATGGTGGAAATCGATCATATAGTAAGGTACACTTGGTATCAAATGTCTTTCCTGGGATCTCTCGGCTTGGAATCGGTTGTGTCGAACAGTAATGACCGAAGCCTTGACCATCGACGAAGTGCCGAATCCGACTATTGGTCTAGACTGTCCGAGCCGACGCCGACCTTTCATCTTACGGATGATGCAGTCGGCAATGCGAAAGATTCCACATCTGGAAAGGATCAAGGAGTAAGTGATATTTACTGTGGCTCTCTAATGCGTGTCTGGTCGCCTCATCATTGTAAGATGGTGTCGTTCTCAGTCTCATAATTTTGAAAACTATACGGAGGTTGCTGTTTTACAATATTTGTATGTGACGGGCAATGGCACATCTGGAAGCTATGATATAATCAACATGACTGACGAATGACTGTATTCATAATACTGAAGTATTCCACTACTACAGTAGAACGATTATCTGTGGAGTAATGCAAACTATTGGCAGTTTCTAGTCCCTGTAGACGCCCATTAGGCTGCTCCCTCAGCCTTCAACTGCTGTCCCGAATAAACCAGACCAGTCCTTCGCTGTTGAAATTGCAATGCAGTGATATTGTCATATAACGCGGGTCTCTCCGGCGTAACAAACGCCGGTAACGGACCGGCATGTGCCATCTTATGGGCTTTGAAGAAGTATGCAGCTGACCATCGTTCTGGTACAACTGCATCCTCAACGTCCTTTCCCTCAGGCGTAATATTCACCCGGTGCACGGCCGCCTTGATTACTCCATTCATCCATCTTTCGAAGGTCGCGCTCACATTGACAATCATCTCATTGGGCTGTTCTCTAGCGACCTCGATATAATGACCTTGTCGAAGAGGGTCTTCGACCTCCAAGCCCCCAACACCGTCTTGGAATAATAAAGTAATCAGTCCGAAGTCAGTATGTGGCCAAATCCGAGCGGTATCGCCCGTTCTTAGTTCTGCAGCAGGTATCTCAGGATAGTGGAGCAGTCGGAGCTCACTCCCGTCGGGAACGCACATGCTACGGAGAGTGTCTTTCGGTAGCTCGAGGCCAATTTCCAACGCTTCCATGAGGTCAAGGCAGAAGCTTTGCCCTCTGGCATAGTATGACTCCATGAAAGCACGCCATCCGGGGATGTCTTGCTCATCAGGCCACCTCGTTGGAAACTGGGTGTCGGCTGGCGGTCCGATATCGTAATGTTCCTTTATACGCGTTAGTTCCCGGCTGATCTTAGAAGACGAGAAATCGGTACCGACTTTTGCATCTTTAAGCTTGCCAGATGGTCTTTCGGTTTGCTCTCCGTATAGCTTTGACGTTGACTCCACACCTATTCCACTCCATCCTCGTTGAGGATTAGGCCCTGGCGGATGGGCAGCTTTCTGTTTCAACTCATCCGGCAACCGATAAAAGCGCTTGACCTATCGAGTGTCAACATTTCCTACATAGCCTATCGGCCGGCTTTGGCGTAACGAAATTAGGCCAAGCGGATGTCTTCTTACTTCATCGAATAGTTGCTGGATCAACTCATCGGAGAGACCATGATTGACCAGCTTGACGAATCCGAACCTCTTGAGACCTTCTACTAAGCCCTGAGCAAGTGTGATCCGCTTGTCAATGTCCCCTTCCGTGAAATCCGCCCAGTCAAGTGTAGGAATCTTTGGGGGGTCACTAAGCACTGTCATCATTAGACTGTAGAGATCGAGGTGCCGCTGTCAGCGCAAAACAGATCGAGCGACAAACGCAGCGGTGAAAACGGCATTGTTGGGGGCATTTCTACTGTCTGGAAATTGAAAAAAAATTTTATTGCCGAATTGACGGCGCCTTGGAAATGTGTCATTCGGAGGCTGGTAAGATGAATCGGATCGGAGACGGCGATATGGGGCCACAGATGCACTTCGACTTTAGTTGGACAGGTCGGAGTGCCGTGTCCGCCTCATTCCGAACCACCAACTCTCATGATGGGCACAGTTACATATATATCTGGGAGCATTGGCCAATGTCACACTTCATTGTGAAGCTGAAAGATGTTGAAAATCATTTTACTTGTAAAATGGGGTACCATGCTTAAATTAGATTGTAGGACTGGGAACGTAACATATATGGCAACCCAGCTATTCCGGTAGTTGACCAATTAGGGCAAATTCCATTCCGATTCCGAAAGCGCGTGACTTAGCTCGCAGCAAAGCTCTCACCGTACCATCTTCGTGGCATATTTAACTATTTTGCTCTGTAGCTTTATCGGATGTGTAAGTCTAGTACTTAGGTCTATGTACAATCGTGATCGCAACTTGGAAAGTCCATCCTTCAGCAATAACCATGACCGCGACAGACGACTCGACAGAGAAGTCGGAGACAACGACTCTACAGGCAGCAGATGTTTCTGCAACGGACCTCGATCCTGACCTACCTCGTGTTCTGGCGAAGGTCCCAGGAACTGTATGGGTGGTAGCTTTCATTGCCGCAGCAGAGCGATTCACATACTGGGGCATCACAACTCCCTGGCGTGAGTGAAGTGGGACAAAATATTTCGTGGGTCTCATATTAACATGCCGGACAGAGAACTACATGCAAAACCCCTCTGGACATAAGAGTTTACCGGGGGCATTAGGCCTGGGTGAAGCGAAGGCATCCACAATATACAATGTCTTCATGTTTTTCTCCTATTTAACACCAATTCCTTTCGCGATTATCTCGGACGTCTATCTTGGTCGTTATCGGACATTGCGCCTAAGTTTGATGTGAGTTCCAGGGCTGCTATTCAGTCTTCGAGCACTTTCTAATCCTTGTAAAGCTTCTACTTAATCGGGTGCGTAATTTTAATTGCTACCTCGGTGAGCTCCGCCACAGAGTATAGGGTCACTTTTGGCGGGTTAATTGCAGCCATGGTTCTCATTGGATTGGCGGTAGGGGGCGTGAGGGCGACGGTGACACCTCTCATGAGTGAGTCTGACCATCTTTAAAGCGACACCTTACTCACCATGTTGAAATCAGTGGACCAGTATGCACCGACCGAAGTTAAGGTGACAACGTTACCCAACGGCAAGCAGGTTGTATATGATCGTGGTCTAACAACGCAGTACATATACAACGCACAATACTGGTAAATTAACTTCGTCCTTTTCATTTACTCGTTTACTAAGGTAAATAAGGCTCGTCAATATTGCAAGTCTATCAGCGATCCCGACAACATTTATAGAGAAGAACGTTTCCTTCTGGGCAGCCTATCTTCTCCCCAGCTGCTTTCTTGCCGCTGGACTTGTCTTTCTTATTCTAGGACAGAAGCGGTTTCGTAAGTTGCTCCACCAATTAGACGTGAGCAGCTGATACTAACTTTTCGGTAGGCAAACTTCCACCAACCGGTAATATTCTACCGAAGGCAGGAAGTGTGCTCTCCTGTGCCATCCGTGGCCGCTTCCAGCTAGATGCTGCCATGCCATCTTACCAACGGGAGCATTTCGCCAAGGACGTTTCATGGGACGAAACCTTTGTGAATGAGATCCGGCGCGGACTAGTGGCTTGTCGAGTCATGTAAGTGACGTGCCCCTGTACATGCGCGTCCCCTAGAGCTTTCACTCACACATCCACCGTAGACTAGGGTTCATTCTATTCTTCACCTGCCTCAGCCAGGCATCCAATAATCTGATTTCTCAAGCAGGGCAAATGAAAACCTATGGAATCCCGAACGACACTATCACCGCGATGAATCCTATATTCTGCGTCATAATGGGTCCAGTTATCCAAAAAGGGTTATACCCCTTGCTGAACAAGAAAAACGTAAAGTTTCAGTCAATCACACGCATGGCAATGGGATTCATTACGATGAGCGCATCAATGGCATTTGCTGCTGGGGTTCAGAAGATTATCTACAACACTGGCCCCTGTTATGACCGGCCTCTTGCGTGCCCTGGGGCTGAGGGTGGTCGGATCCCAAACCAGGTCAACGTGTTTCTTCAGACTCCAACATATATCATCCTTGCCGTCGCAGAAATTTTCTCCTTTGTGACCCTGTCGGAATACACCTATACGAAGGCCCCGACTGACATGAAAGCTGTGGTCCAAGCGCTCGGTCAACTAGGTGCGGCGGCAGGGTCGGCGATTGGTATCGCGATCACTCCGTTAGCTCACGATCCCAGCCTGATATGGATGTATACCGGGCTAGCGGTAGCTATGTTCCTTGTGGCGGTTGTTTTCTGGATTCTGTTCAAGAAATACAATGCAATTGATCGGGAGGATAAATGAGGAGGGAGAATCTGTGTAGTCCTTCCCTCAATAACATGTTTTGCCCTACCTATATAGATGTGTTCACAAGACAGATTTTTGTATCATCTGAGGCCTATACCGGGTTCTATCTGTAAACGGTTTGGATAGTTATAACCCTATGGTAGAGTGCTTGGTAGTTATGCGGGTTATACTCTAATATATATGTTAACGTCTTGGACGCAGTTGCCATTCTCAATGTTGTGAATCTACAGTAGGTCAGAGGAATTGGCATTGAATAGAGTGAACTAAGCCATTGAATTGGATGAGCGAACTTAGTTAGTATACAGGAATTTCGTCTGTGGGAAGACATATATAAGCGAGGACTTTGCCGATCCATTCGGATAATCCTCGGGCCGATCCTATTTCATAATGTCACGGGCTAGTAGCCGGTTCAACCTATATAATAGATTTGGACTAAAAGAACTCGCTGAAGAGCTTCTATCTGCGGCCGTCGGCGGCCGAACAGGTAAATGTGTGTGCGAGGTAAACGAGATCACGTGATCGGGAGAGTTCTACACGACCTCGCGAGTGCCCCGTATACAGGCTCGAGCACTTTGCGGGCCCTGCCCGCTACACATAACACTCAATAATATATGATCAAAACAACTAATATATTCTTGCCACGACGTTTCCTTCATGATGGTTCTAACGATCTACATCGTAGATCGCGTCTACAATGCTGATTATTAAATTATTAATAGAACAATTATTCATCGTTTCTGAGCCAAAGGGTAGTTAATTTTGGTGTAAATTTATGATCGATTCGTCGTTCTTTCTGCCCAAGGCGGTGTGGAGTCGTTTTCAACGCGTCCAGGGAGCCACGGAGTTCGAACTCGAGACTCAAAACACACCACAGCGTGCATTTCATAATCTAGATGCGTGGTCTTACCGCCTTAATAGGCTGAAGTGTGTCAAAGAAAGACGCAACCGCTTCCGTATTCTCTAAATCGCAGACAACGCTGATATATCCGTCCGGTCGCACCACTGCGACACAATCGTGATTTCGGTCGAGACCACACCGTTGATATGCCTCTCCATGACCATCATGATAGCTTTCATCGTCCGCATAAACGTTCCAGTAGTTCCATCCCCACCTGGAACTCCATGGATGAAAGGCTTCATGGAAGTCCTCGAGCTCCACATCAGCGCGTCGGGCCGAGTGGATGGTTATGGTCTCAATAAAGAACTCTCCTGACCCCCCTTGCGGGAGGGACACCTCGACGTCTAATTTAGACTTAGCCAGCCATCCCCCGAACTGGTTGAGTCGCGACATGGTGTATTCTTGAGAAACGTCGCCAGGAAACACGAGAATGCGAAACTTCCCATCAGCTCGCAATCGTTGATGGATGCGGATAGGCACCCCATCAGATTGGTTTACTACTTGGAAATCCGGGAGACGCAGACCAGGGACCAACCCTCTTTGTAATGACTGGACATCGACATCTTCAGTAATCAGGAGCGAGGGAGGATACCTGATGCCTATTCCTGTGGTGAATCTCTGCCCTTTCAGGTAGGCATCGAGAAAGTCCGCGTGGTTGGAGGCATGTTGCTTTGCAAAGTGCTTTAGATAGTCACGGTCGAAGTTGATCAAAGCTTCTGCGACTGGCTTGCGTTCGCTCTCATACGTTGCTAGAATTTCCCGACCACACTGGTGTTCTAGGCATGCTCGAAGCTTCCAGCCAATGTTGTATGCTTTGGAGACTTCTAGTTAGCATGCTTGCTTTCCTATGATCCCAGAAAGACGCAAGGCTTCGCATGAACTGTATGCTAAGGGGCTCTAACATACCGTCTTGAATGCTGGTATTCATACCCTGACCGGCCTTTGGGGAGTGCGTGTCTATAAAGGTTAGCGGTCGCTGGTTGGCAGCCCCATCACTTCTAGACGATACTCACGAACCGAGTCGCCAGCCAGGAAGACCCGATCATGGCGAGCAAATTCGTTGGCAACCCGCTGTCCAACGCGATAGGCTGACCACCAAGCACACTCTGCAGCCTCCATAGTATAGGGGAACATGATCGCGCGTGCGGCATCAAGCAGATCATCCACCTTTAGGTCATGTCGCGCCAATCCAGATGCAGCATCTGGATTGACAGCGTCAATCTGGATATAGAATCGGACAAGCCTGTCTTCACGGGGCACAGACATGACGGTACCCTTCGAGGAATGAATGACGGCCACCTTGCGGATATCTGGGAAGCTTGTCTTGGGGACTATGTCCATTACGCCTAGCATGATTTTAGAAGTCAGGGTCGCCTGGTAGTTCGTGGCTCGCTTCGTTACATACCCCATGTTGAATCAGTTAAATCCCCAATAAATGAGATACCGAGACGTTGTCGAATCCAGCTGCGCGCCCCATCACATCCCAAGACGTATTTAGCGTGGATGGTCTCTTTTACGATCTCCGGGCGCTTTGTCTTTTCCGTATTAGCTCTGGATTTATTGTAGACTGAAGGTACTTACACTATCTTGCTGGGCATGCATGGGTTGCCATAACAGTCCTGGATCTGACCCATCTTCCGAAGTTTCAAGTGATACAGTGATCGGGTATGCCTCTGGATTGTCTACTTGATCGAGGTCGATATCCATATGCACCGGCTGCTTTCTCCATTCCACTTCGATGCTACTACGCTTGTGTAGATTCTGGATCATATGGTGTCCAATCCTACCTGAATTGATGGCAATGCCATGAGCAAATTTCGTCTCCCTTTCGCGAGAGACCGGGAACCGATGATTAGGATGTGTTCATACCTTGATGCAAAGAGACTTCTCGAGGCTTTCCAAGCTCAGGTATGCGGTCCGGGATTATACACGCACGGGAAAGACCCCCCGCTAGGTCAGAATTCCAAAGGGTAATTTCCTCGACTCTATGGGCCTCATTGCGAATACTATCGCCAATTCCGAAGCTATCCAGAACCTCCAGGGAAATGCTTTTTAACCCGTCGGCTTTGCCTGCCTCTACAATCCCGTCTTTCTTGTCGATAATACGGACATTCAATCGACTCCCAAGAAAACAATTTGCCGCGGTGAGACTTGACGCCGAGGACATTAGTTCCAGCCAAATTTGGGCAAATGGCGCCAACTTACCCGGCAGGGCCTGCTCCGACGATAAGTACGTCAACGTAGTCCGATCGCGAACCCATCTTGTGATGGCTGTAAGCTTCGATATTTTCTAAAGGCTTGCTGACATCATCTGCCCGAAAACTTTGGTGAATTGCGTTTTTATATGTTGGTAACTTGTCGGGATCATCTCTTACTACAGGAATGCTTCTCCGAATCGTTCGGGCCGACTGTCGGACTTCACCCTTTAGTAGTGTTCGGCGACGTTTGTCCTCCCCGAAGTACGTCGCATCACGAACAAAATTATCGTAACCTATTTGCAATTATCGCTAGGCTGGGGATGGTTTATCCTAGCATTTGATTGATTCCCTGTCCTTCCTCTTCGCCTCATTTCTTTTGGGTCAGCAATCGCTTCCACACACATCGTTACATAAACTTGCAAATCCAGGAAGATACCATCAATACCGTGTATTTGCCTGAAAAGTATTTACACTGTTATAGCTGAAAAACCACAATATGTTGTCTCCAGTCGTCCGCTATCACACAAACGAAGAGAAGAACGGGTACACAGTTTTGAATCTTGAAACATCGAAGAATGGGTTAACCCAGACCCCGGTGCAGTATCTCATCCAGACGGCTCCGCTGCATGACTTCTGCAGTCGTCAAATGGTCGATCTACGTACCCTTCTGCAATGTGCATGGTCGCGGGTGGTTGCCCAATTGGAATCTAGAAAAGATCTCAAAGCAGACGTGATCTATTACGCGAAGTCAAAATCGGCAGTAGGAGATTTCGTCTCCGAGGTGAAGAAGTCACGAGAATGTGCGGAGTTAGAAAATGAAAGGATATTTACGGAAAAGCTATTACTCCCACTTAATGCCACTGGGACCGCCTCCCTAAGCTGGCCCCAAAACGATCTATTAGGCGCGAGGGAAGGGGAATGTGGTCACCAGGTGCGTTAAACATAGAGCCTTTTGTTCTGGGGCCCTGGGGTTCTTCAGGGTCACATACTAAGTCAATTTAGAGTACTGGGGGATTTGAGCTTGCACAATGTGGCAGCTGGATCGCAATTTCCGCAAACTTCAACCCACTCACCATTTCAACAATGTTGGTAAATGACCACATTGAAATGCTTCGCTCATTCCTAGTAGCACTTGTCGTTGGTGATGATGAGCTGTGTGCTCCTGAAAACTATCTCACGCCAGAGGACAGCGCCCGGATTCGGAGATGGAACAGCGCGGTTCCCCCTGAAATCAATGCTTCAATACTTGATGTGTTCTTTGAGCAAGTTGAGGCGCACCCTGGATCAACGGCAGTTAGTGGGTGGGACGCGAGTCTCACCTATCAGGAACTTCAAGATTGTGCAGACCGACTGGCTAACCAGTTAAAGGCACATGGAGTCGGACCAGGGATGCTGATTCCATTGTGTTTCGAGAAGTCGGCATGGGCCGTGGTGGCTATCATTGCGATTGTTAGTACTGGTGCTGCGTTTGCTCTGCTGGACGCTTCTCAGCCGGAGGCGCGCTTGCGCTCAATTGTGATGCAAACCAGAGCGAATTTGATGGTCACATCACCTCAGAAAGAGGACCTCGGACGAAGGTTGGTGCCGGAAGTGGTGTTGGTACAGCCTACACAGCCCACAAAAAGTTCCGGACGATCTAGAACATTGAGACCAGTAGTTAAGCCGGATTCACTCCTATACGTGGTATTCACCTCTGGTAGTACCGGCCAGCCAAAGGGAGCTATGATCTCACACTCCAACTTTGTCTCCGCAGTTCATTATCGCAGGTCCGAGCTCTACACACACTCTCCGCGGGTGCTCGACTTTGCTTCTTATAGCTTCGATATTAGCATCGAGTCTACTCTGGCGCCGTTACTGCTCGGAGGGTGTGTTTGCGTACCGTCTGATGCATCTCGAGAGGCTGATCCTAGCGATGCGATAAACGCATTCAATGCGAACCAAGTCATGCTCACTCCATCGTTGGCCCGGCTAGTGCAACCAGAAAATGTACCGTCCTTACGCCTGTTACATTTGGGAGGAGAGCAAATCTCGACATTCGATATCGAAAGATGGCCTATTACGGTGAAGCTCATCAACGGCTATGGTCCAGCTGAATGCACTGTCGTGTCAACAGCGAACACCGTCTCGCATTTGTCTCCTGAAGCACATACTATTGGCCGAGGCCTAGGCGCAGTCACTTGGGTTGTTGATCCCGCAGATAGTGGACACTTGGTACCCCTCGGAACTATTGGCGAGCTTGTTATTGAGGGCCCGCTCGTTGGGTCTGGATATCTTCATGATGAGGAGCGGACCTTAGCAGCGTTCATCGTGGATCCACCATGGCTGCGAGCTTTCGGCAGGCGGGGCCGTCTGTACAAAACTGGTGATCTCGTATCTTACAATTCCAACGGAACACTCACGTTCATTGGTCGCAAAGACACGCAGGTCAAGGTAAATGGACAGCGTGTCGAACTCGGGGAGATTGAACATAGTATGCAGCAACAAATATACATGCAAGGAAACTGCGTGGTCGATATCGTGGTTGATCTAATTTCTATCAACACGAATTCTGGGAAGCAGTCTGTTTTGGTGGCTTTCCTGGGCCTCGAGCGAGCTGCACAAGCGCGATTTACGGCATCCGATGCTCCCAGTGTACAGGAGCTAACGTCCGCCATGTGGGAGATCCTCGAGCACATTAATCTCTTCAAGGTCCTACCACGTTATATGGTCCCCTCTATTTATGTTCCATCATGGCGTATGCCACTTCTTCCCTCTGGCAAAATAAACCGGTTGAAGTTGCGTTCGATAGGGGAGTCATTATCGGTCGATGACTTGGCAGCCTTTAGAAAGCCGCAGGTTGCAACGGTTGATACACGAGGACAGAGCACGCCACAGGAAAAGCTACTACAAAGTCTATGGGGACAGATCTTTCCGCATCGTGCAGATAGCATTCTTCTTGATGATAACTTCTTTTCCCTCGGCGGCGATTCCCTTGCCGCAATGAAGCTCGTCGGGCTTATTAGAAAGCATGGCATTGAAAATAAGCAACAGGAGGAGATACGTATCGCGGACATTCTTCAATGGCCACAGCTTACTGATATGGCACGTTGTATTACGCAGGTAGATGGTAAACAAGCTGACCTTCAGGATGCTCCCTTTGATCTTTTGCCGGACCATATAGCGCCGTCGGACGCCCGACGAATAGCTGCTCCACAATGCGATGTTCAACCAGAGCAAATAGTGGATATCTACCCTTGTACTCCACTTCAAGAGGGGTTGATGGCTTTATCAGCTGGACGATCCGGAGCCTATATCGCACAGAATATTTTCGAGTTAAGTGATACAACGAACATTGATACCTTGCGGGTCGCTTGGACCCATATTGTGATGTCAAGTGTGATCTTTCGAACGCGAGTCGTGCAGTTAGATCCCCAAACCCTAGGACAGGCAGTTGTTAATGTTCCGATTGAATGGGTGGGTTATGACGGAGGGCTAAATGATTTCGTGGCAATAGACCGCCACAAACCTATGGGGATCGGAAAGGCTCTCATGCGATTGACTGTCGTCAGCGAGCGCAGTGAGGAGTCAGTATCGAAACGCTTTCTTGTCTGGACAGCTCATCATGCCGTGTTTGATGATTGGATATTAACCCTTATTACAAGCCACGTGGAAAAGGTGTACCGTGGGAGCCCGCCGTCTTCCTTCCATTTAACTCCATATAAACGGTTCATTCGCCACATCCAAGAGGTGGACTGTGAATCATTTAGTAACTATTGGCGCCAGGAGCTTGAAGGGACTAATGCCTCCATCTTTCCACACTTGCCTTCGGCCGTGGACAAGCCAGTAGCGGATGCGACGGCTAGATTTGCATTCAACTTGAACGATTCCAAAGTAAATGTTCATGCTTCTTTACCAACCATATTGCGCGCGGCCTGGAGTATCCTTGTGTCACGGCATACTCAAACAGACGATGTGGTTTTCGGAGAGACCTTGACTGGTCGTAATGCACCTGTCGCCGGTGTTGAAGAGATGGATGGTCCGACTTTGACAACAATTCCCCGACGAGTAAAAGTCCAAAATGAGATGAAAGTGGCCGAATTCCTTGAGGAGATCAAGAGACATGAAATTAACACCATCCCCTATGAAGGGTTTGGACTACAAAACATACAGAAGCTGAGCGAGGATGCTCGCGTTGCGTGCCAATTTGCAACACTTCTTGTGATCCAACGGGAGCCAGAGTCGGAAACTGACAGCCCCATGACTAATGTGACTGAGAAGATCTTGCACGACGACTGTGGAGATGATGAGCCTTATGCATCCTTTTTTACTACCTACCCTCTCATGGTGACCAGCTCGATCAGGGACAACCAAATCAACATCTATGCGAGCTTTGATTCTAGGATAATTGAGCGTACCAAGATGGAAGTACTCATGCATCAGCTAGAGGTCATCACACGGCAAGTGGTTCAAGAACCAGATGAAGTTGTTGGTAGCATCAATTGTCTAACAGGGGAAGAGCTTCACCAGATCTGGAGCTGGAATCGACTGCCATGGGCACCTATTTTAGGATCTGTCCATGATCGGATCGGTGAGGTATCCAATACCAGGCCTTCCGCCCCTGCAATTTGCGCTTGGGATGGTTCCCTAACCTACGGCGAGTTGGATTACCTGTCTACGCGCCTTGGATCACACCTCTCCAAAGTTGGAATCGAACCCGAGTCACTGGTTCCTCTCTGCTTTGAAAAGTCCGTTTGGACCATCGTATCGATGCTTGCAGTTATCAAGGCTGGTGGAGCTTTTGTTCTCCTTGACCCCGCCCAGCCCAAACAACGGCTGGGCGAGATTATTTCAAGAGCAAAGGCGAACCATGTCCTAGCCTCCCCGTTGCAGTATGACATGACTTCCGAGCTGGCATCTGAGCACAACTCAACAGTAGTCCTAATTTCAAATTCACTCCTTGAAGCATTAACAGATGATGCTGTTGTTACTGATCGACTGCTGCAGCACTTTGATTCCAATAGACCACTTTTCGTCACTTTCACCTCTGGCAGCACTGGGAAGCCGAAAGGTGTTATCAGTACCCATGGTAGCTATCTGTCTGGCGTTAACTATCGCAAGTCAATCTTACGACTGCCAGACGTGGACATGAGAGTATTTGATTTCGCGTCCTACAGTTTCGATGTCAGCACGGATGTGATTCTTTCCACGCTTATCACAGGCGGCTGTGTGTGTGTGCCCTCTGACTTTGATCGCAAGAATAACATTCCAGGAGCGATCAATGCCCTGAAAGTTAATGCGGCAGATCTCACCCCTTCCGTCTCACGTTTACTCTCACCCGAATCGGTTCCTGGACTCAAGGTTTTGAAATTGGGAGGAGAAGCCAATGCTGCAGCTGATCATGCCTTGTGGCTAGGAAAGACAACACTTGTCAATATATACGGCCCTTCGGAATGCCTGGTTGTGACTGCAGAGACGGTTGTTCCCGGCACCGACCCATGCAACATTGGTCGAGGTCTTGGAGCTAACACCTGGGTCGTTGATCCTACGAACCATGATCGTTTAGCCCCAATTGGTAGCATTGGAGAGCTCCTCGTTGAAGGTCCAATCCTCGGTCGAGGCTATCTAGACGACCAAAAACAAACGGATGCCGTCTTCATACATAATCCTACATGGCTGCTAAAGGGATTGGCCGGATTTCAACCTGGTCGTGAAGGACGGGTGTATAAAACCGGAGATTTAGTCCGGTACAACCCTGATGGCACTTTACATTATATCGGCCGCAAAGATAGGCAATTGAAAGTTCGTGGACAGCGTGTCGAGCCGGCTGAGATTGAAGGGCTTATAGAGAGGCACATGAAGTCGAAGTTAGGATTGAGAATCGACGTCGTCGCGGACTTGGTCACATCAAAAAGTGATCAGCGGAAAAGCCTCATTGCATTCCTCGGTCTGAATAAAGTTTTGGAGTCAAAGGGCTACTCAGAGGAAATTCACCTAGGGGATACAGTCCTGCGCGACATCATGTGGGAAGTCACAGCTGGTCTTGATGTCCTACTTTCGCTGACTCTACCTCCATATATGGTCCCATCCGTTTATGTACCATTACGCCATATACCATTGTTGCCATCAGGGAAGACCGACCGCAGGAAGCTCCAATCCACCGGTGCCAGTCTATCGCCGGAAGACATGTTATTCTTCAGAGAACGGCCGAAAGCCCAGAGTCGACCAATAGCCACGCCGAAGGAAGAGAAGTTACAGAAGCTATGGGCTGATGCTCTTGGCGTGAAATCAATTCAGGCCGAGGACAACTTCTTTACTATCGGAGGGGATTCGATCGCTGCAATGAGACTGGTAGGCCTAGCACGAGATCAAGGGCTTTCGCTAAGCGTCGCCGATATCTTTCAACGCCCCAGGTTATATGAGATGGCCGAGCAGGCCCCTGAGACCGGAATAGAATTAGTTGAGATACCTGCTTTCTCTCTTCTTCCTGGTGACGATTCATGCGTGCTTGATGAGAGAAAAGTAGCTGCGGCGCAGTGTGGGTTCTCTATTGAAGTAATAGAGGATATGTACCCCTGCACCCCACTGCAGGAGGGATTGATGGCACTTTCAACCAGAACCCCTGGGGCGTATATATCTCAGAATGTTTTTGAAATGGGCCCTGCAGTCAATACTAATCCAATGAAAGAAGCCTGGGATTGCGTTGTGACATCAAATCCAGTCATGCGTACGCGGGTGATACTGTCAGCTCGGCAGGATCTTGTGCAAGTCGTTGTACGGGAAGACATTCAATGGGAGAGTCATGACTCTCTGGAATCATACCTCAAGTGTGACCGTAACAATCCAATGGGACTTGGGATGCCGTTGACAAGACTTGCATGGATTGATGATGAGAAGGCTAAGAAACGTTTCCTAGTCTGGACCGCACATCATGCTATATTTGACGGCTGGGTATTGTCAATGGTGATGGAGAATGTTCTACGGGTATATCATGGTAAGTCTATTCACGTTGGACCGCCATTCAAAGCTTTCATCAAGTATCTTGAAAAGCTTCAGCGGGTCGAAATGGATATATTTTGGCAAAAAGAGCTTTCGGCAATAAGTGCGACACCTTTCCCCGCCTTGCCATCCTCAACGTATCAACCGAAAGCGGATGTTGAGACGAAGCTTGAAATGCCATTCACTTGGTCGACGACGTCCAACGTGACGATCTCAACATTTCTTAGGCTAGCTTGGGCAGTCTTAGTCTCGCGCTTGACAGCATCCTCAGATGTTATATTTGGCGAAACTCTTAACGGCCGCAATGTCCCTCTCCCGGGTATCGAAGGAATGGTTGGCCCTACTTTAACAACACTTCCCCGGCGCATATTGCTTGAAGACAACCTTGCCGTTGCCGACCTTTTGCAGCGTCTCAAAGATCAAGAGGTCGCAATGATGCCTTTTGAGCATGTCGGCCTCCAGAGCCTCCAGGAGCTATCGGCGGATTGCCAAGCTGCTTGCAGATTTCAGACCTTGTTTGTCGTTCAGCGTGGGATGGACCCAAAAGGCCGCAAAAGCACATGCTCTACAATATGGCTATGCAGTAGTAGTTGTTCGACGCAACAAGAACCGCAATGGTATTATTGAAGCAGTCTATCTTGGCTGTGATCAAGGTCAAAAGCGTGCTTCAACATCCACTGGCCAGCGCGAGGCCAAATCTCGAAAAATTGGCTGCCTTTTAGATTCGAATTAGCTACTCAAAACATACAGCTAGATGGACCTTAGTTGTACGGAATAAAGATCATAATCATGAGGCATCATCAGCCATTGCACATCCTTCAGTTCGGAGAGAGGAGATCAAGCAAAAAGGGGATCAAATTAAGGCCTTAATTAAAGTTGGTATACCAACGAGAGAGATTATTCGAATACTCCGTCAAGAAGATCAAAATACTCTTATCCAACGCCATGACATATACAACCTCCGGGCTGCAATATATAAGCAATTTCTTGCAGGACGAAGCCCCATGCAGGCCTTAATTTCTATTTTACCTGATGAAGGAAGTTGGATAATGCAGCATGCTACTCAAAATGGTCGAGTTTCTGCGCTATTTCTTACTCATAAAGTGTGCCTTCAGCAACTAAAGAAGAATCCATATATTTTTTGTATCGATTGCACTTATAAAACCAACCGGTTTAGGATGCCTCTTCTTAATATTGTTGGTGTATCAGCTACTGGAAGCACATTTTAACGAGTAGTGGCTTTTTAAGTGATGAACAAGAGGAGACCTATTCTTTTATTCTAGCTTTAATGCGAAGAGTATACCGGGTTCTCCAGCTTCCACTTCCTCTTGCTATTCTTACAGATAAAGAGAAGGCTTTAATAAATGCAGTTATGCATCTCTTTCTAGAAAGCAGCCATCTTCTCTGTATCTGGCATATTCTTAAGAATATTTCAGCAAAAGCAAAGCCTATGATCGCTCGTACAGTTCAAATTCAAGATACAAAAAAAGGATTAAGAGATTATAGGCAGACTCAAAGCCTAGAAAGAAAATGACACAAGTTATCTTTGCAACAACAATTGAGGAGAAGAATTAGAGATGGGAAGAATTTAAACAGATATATAGCTCTTTTCCGGAGTTAATACACTATCTGGAGTGGGAATGGCTTCAATATTTTACTGCAAGGAAATTCCTCCATTGCTATACCAATTCCTATACTCATTTTGGAAATACTGCAACATCTCGAAATGAAGGCGCGCATCATAATTATTAAAAGGGATCTAAACACCTCAATAGGAGACCTTTTAACAGTGACACGGTCTCTTGAACGAACAGTGCTTGATAGAGATGCAGAGATAGAGAGGCAGATTACAGAGAACAAGATAAGATGGCCTATATCTCTTGATATGCCTCTTTATCGGGATGTGAAGTTTAAAATATCCCAATTTGCACTCTTTAAAGTTCATAAAAATTTATAAGGACTACCTTCCGAAAAGGCCCCTGGCAAGAGGCTAATTAAGCCTTGTACTAAATCAGTACAGGTAATACTTGGAATTCCATGCATTCATATCATTCAGGAATATGTCGATGCCCAGAGGCCATTAAATATGGACCACTTTCATCGCCAGTGGTGGATTACAGGCTATTTAATAGAGCCACTTGATCCTTGACTTCTAGTAATGGATCCACTTATACAGCCTTCCTTCGGCGGCCGTTTAAACAAGCGAGGATTGTCATTATATGAGCGAGTGGACCGGGAGGTACGGATTGCTCAGAAAGGTGAGGCACTTAAAGCAATCGTCAGCAGCGGCTATATCTGTGGAGGCAAGACCTGAAGAAGCAGCAAACAAGGCACCGCTTGAAGCATTGAATGAAGCATCAAGGCAAGGAATATCTCCGGCGATGCCTCGGGGACAGGGTAGAGGGAGGGGGCAAGCGGGCAGGCGATCTGGGGATCTAACATGGGTGTCAGTGGAATTTTGATATCTGCATTCTGATTAGCTGGTCAAACTGTATTCTGAATTGGTATATTAATGTCTAATAATTGCGTCATGCTATGTTGCACTTTTATATGGAGAATCGAATAAAAAGCATTTCCATTAATACTATGACGCCTTCAAGGTGTCAGAATCACATCGATACGTCCCAATGTAGTATAGTCTTGACCTGTGCAAATAGATGTTTCCTAATCGGGTTAGTGACCTGTGCAGGCAGAATTTTGACCTGTGCAAATAGTGGCGCCCCCCTCGATCCCTGTCACGTGACTCCCCATCTTGTTTGTTTACCGCTTATTTTCCTCTTCCTTTCTTCCCTCCTTTAACGATTCCTTCTTGTACATAACCTATCTGTAGGTTCTACGGGTTCAGCCCTTTTTGATATTAGGAATCGTTCATCTTACTTACTTTATACTGGAACGGAATGGAATAAAACAGAACGGAAAACAACTAATACCGAACAGAATGGAAGGAGAATATAACCCACTAAGTGGGAGTACAGAACTACCGACATGGGCCGAGCCCCTATTTTGTTAAATAATAGAACTACAGCAGATAGCTCTTAGTCTACAACGAGATCACTTCCAGGGGCAAATCCAGACATTACACGCGGAACTCCAAGCTGCACTCCAAACAACTCCAACCCCGGCAACTTTGAACACCACACCGAGTGCGGCACCTGTACCTAACCCCCTACCTCCCATACAACAGCACCCTCGCCCGAAGCTAGCCAACCCCGAACAGTTTAACGGAACAGACCTTACGCTTTTCCCACAGTTTTTAAGCCAACTGAAAGCGAAGTTGCTGATAGACAAGGCCTCTCTTGGGGGAGAGTTGGAATAAATATAGTACAGCTACAGCTGCCTGGGAGTAGACCTCGGCGTGACCCGCGGGTCACCCTCCGAGGGTCGAGGTTCCAACTCCCTTACCCGCGGGTCGGTTCTAGGCTTCTGGCGACCCTCAGAGGGTGACCCGCGGGTGACCCGCGGGTCCTTAAACAAGACAAACATGCGAAGCTCGTAACTTGCATATTTTATGCAATATTTGTCTGTATCTTTAGGTATTTTGCTTACAAACTATTAACTACTTGAAAAGGGGAACTCTGCTCACGAGATAATATATAAAGGGCTTTATTTTATAATATATATACATATTGAATGAGAGGGAAATGGTAGAACTCCGAAAGAGTAGGTCAAGGAGACACTCTTAGACAGTTCAGAAGTTGTGGGCCCCGAGCCCACAACTTCCTGGCAATTAAAGAGAAGACAACATTCCTTCTACGCAACTGCGTCCTGTGGTCTGTGAGAAGGTTGTTGATTGTCTATTACCTCTTCGAACGAGGACTTAAGATAATAGCTATCCATACAAATGTTACGTGCCAATCCCCCGAATTCCTCTACTATAATATAACTATCCTTTACCAATTTCATATCCATCTAGAAGTCTTAAACGTTTCCGAACTCTTCCTGATAGGCGTTGATGCATGTCAGGCAATGGAAGAGTAGCTTTATTATCTTCAGCCTTTATTTCTTGTTCATGCTCCGCTTCAGAAGCAACGCTTCTGCGCCTTTTACCTAGCACTCGTTCGCTTGGGATTGGAGCTAATAAATTTGTTTAATTAAGATCTGGATTATCCTCCTCATATCGCTGATAGGATCAAAGTTATTTTAATTGGTTATCCTCTTCATTGCAGCCTGTTTCTCTTCATAAGATATTTATTATTAACACAGATACCCTCTTCTATCTTAAATTTTAATCACACATAAACATCATTTCATCTCGAATAGAGGAGGGCTTTAATAGCCGCGGCGAAAGTGACAGATATCCCGAGAGAGTTAAAGAGTCTCTGACACCTGCGCCGTTGCTGGGATTAATAAAACATCCCGTGAGCACTCGCAAGCACTGGGAACTGGTGTTGGTTATCTCTCCACCAAGTTCGAGGAGATTAAACACGAGGCCTATATTTTATATTAGTTTATATAGCTTGTTATGTCTCAGAGAACTTACCACTCTCAAGATATCGTTGAGTTCATCAGGGCCATTATTGCGTAGTAAATGTTTTAACTTCTCTGCATTTCCAGTAAAAGCTCAAGCCTTGAAAGATTTTCAGTGGATACCTGAGCTGTTAATTCAAGCTGTGTATTTACTATCCTGTTTATATGGCTTAAGAAATTCTTCCATACTTTTACGGTACTGCTACGGTATTGACTACCCCAATCCTTCTGAAAAAAATTGAAGTTTGTTCTTTGGCAGAGGATCGTGCCAACTGCAAAAAGATCCATAACATGGTTAGTTATCTAATAGTAATAGGCAAGCTTTTCCCTCGCTGTATAAAGCCAGATAACATTATTCTTCCAAGCTACCTTTTTTTGTTAAAGCTAATAAGTTAACTTTTCAAGATGCTAAATAGATATTATAAATACTAAAACAAGATAATGTGGCATCTTTGGTTTTTAAAAAAAGTAGTGTATTCAAAGAAGGGCTTTAAATGAAAATATTTAATTTTCGCCATTCTTTATTATTTAATGCAAGTGATCTTGGTTATATTACAAGAAAAAGTTTAATAGTTAACTGCAGTCTTCGCGCGTTAAGATAATATAAGTTAAATTCCAGCGAGTTTTAAATCCTAATTAGCACGAGTTTCGGCTCTTCGTTTAAAGATTATAAAAAGTCTCGCGGCGTTAGGACTGGCATTAATATAGATCGCGAGAGTTCGGACCTAAGAAAGAGATTAGGAAAAAGGTTTTAAATAAAAAGGAGATACTACCTTATTTAATTATTAACGATCTCGTGTTTTTCTGTTGTTCTCGAAAGACTGTAACAGTTTCTACCACTAAGCTCCTTATCTTATTCTGCGGATTGGCTTTCATCTGCCCGAGAAGAGCCTTTAGGCTTAGTTGAATAACATGAGCAAGACACGGAACCTGGATAATAGTAGAGCTATTATTTAGCTCAAGCATCTAAATTGAATTATAAATACTTGCTATTAGAGTGCTATTATTTAACACATTATCAGTTGTAACAGCAAGTACCCGGTTAGTAATCTTATATTGTTCAAGTAGTTTAAGAACCACATCACTTAGGTTAACACCAGAATGTGACCCAGAAAGTGGCTTAAACCCAAGAAGCACCTCTTTATATTCCCACTCGGCAT